GTGTTGTGCTCTGATAGTTCAGCCAATAAAACCAAAATGACTGTTTCTGTTTGGTTATAACACTATATAGTCTATATATAATACATATATTAATGATTAGGGGTGTCAAATTATCGCGTTAATTGTGATTAATTAATTACAGTCATATTTAGCTCGTTATGTTTTTTAATCGCGTTAATCTCATTTTTAATCTCTAACTTTATTGTTTCTGTATGTGAGTTGCTTTATTATAAAACCTGTTTTATGTGTACAACACACACACACACACACACAAAACACATTTATACATTTTTTTATTTCGGTAATTCCTCTCATTGCCGGAAACTCACACAAAACGCGCGCAGTAAGAGCGATGTAAACGTCATGTTCACGTTGGCGGCGTCAGTCGCACAATGGACGAGGTGGAAGAGCCAGTAGAACAGAGCAGCAGTGCACAGGTAAAAACACATTCGTGTCTTGGAAATTCTTCTCCCGACGTGAAATATAAAAGAAAATAACAAATATAAAATCGCCTACAACTTAAATGTCACTGGTGAAAACAACCTGCATAGACTCATGATGTCTGCACTACTGTCCTATACACACACACACACACACACACACACACACACACACACACACACACACAAAACACAAACACACACACACAAACACACAACACACACACACACACACACACACAAACACACACACACACACACAAACACACACACACACACACAAACACACACACAACACACACAACACACACACACACACACACACAACACACACACACACACACACACACACACACACAAACACACACACACACACAAACACACACACACACACACACACAAACACAAACACACACACACACACACACACACACACAATACACACACACAACACACACACACAAACACACACACACACAAACACACAACACACAACACAAACACACAACACACACAACACACACACACACACACACACACACACACACACACACACACAAAACACACACACACACACACACACACACAACACACACACACACACACACACACACACACACACACACACACACACACACAAACACACACACACACACACAACACACACACACACACACACACACACACACACACACACAACACACACAAATACACACAACACACACACAACACACACACACACACACAAACACACACAACACACACAACACACACACACACACACACAACACACACACAACACACACACACACACACAACACACAAACACACACACACACACACACAACACACACACACACACACACACACACACACACACACACACACACACACACAAACACACAACACACACACACACACACACACAACACACAACCCACACACAAACACACACACCACACACAAACACAAAACACAACAACACACAACAACAACACACACACACACACAAACACACACACACAAACACACACAACACACACACACACACACACACAACACACACAACACACACACACACACACACACATACACACACACACACAACACACACACACAACACACACAAACACACACAAACACACACAAACACACACACACACACACACACACACACACACACAACACACACACACACACACACACACACACACACACAAACACACACACAACACACACAACACACACACACACAACACACAACACAACACACAAACACACACACACACAAACACAACACACACACACACACAAACACACTCACACCTTCATCATCGTCATTAACCTGAGAACACTGGACCATGTTTCCTTCCGTAGTTACTGCGTGGACACCGACCTGCTCCCGTGAGCCGCGTGTGGATCGTGTTTTCTCGCGTCGCTGCGTAAACCTGCGCTTCCTCCTGTGAACCTCTAAACCAGAACTAACACCAAGACTAAAACCAGGACTAACCCAGTCCAGGACTAAACCAGGACTAAACCAAGACTAAAACCAGGACTAACCCAGTCCAGGACTAAACCAGGACTAAACCAAGACTAAAACCAGGACTAATCCAGTCCAGGACTAAACCAGGACTAAACCAGAACTAAAACCAGGTCTAAACCAGGTCTAAACCAGGTCTAAACCAGGACTAAACCAGAACTAACACCATGACTAAAACAGGATTAATCCATTCCAGGACTAAACTAGGACTAAAGCAGGTCTAAACCAGGACTAAGACCAGTGATCTCATATATAAAGCATTTCTCTATCAATAATATTTTTAATATGGTTAAGGAAAGACTGGACTTTTTATTGTCTTTAAGTCGACAAAAGTTATTATGTTCAGATTTCCTCGTCTTTGCTACTTTACAGCAAACAGTTTCTTATTCATGGAGACTTGGGCTCAACAGCCAATTTGGAGAGATTTGTTAAACAATAAATGACTTTATAAAGTCACTTTTTTAAATCTATATCAGTCTTTTGATCTGCCACAATAATGTAATAATGAATTTAAATGAAAATACCTCAAATTGAAGCTTTTCTCAGCAATTTTTAGGTGAGACTAAAATGAGATTAATTAGATTAATTAATTACAGATCATAATTAATCTCTCAATTTTTTTAATCACATGACAGCACTATTAATAATATATATTTATAATCTTGGCCTTGGCGTCGCTCCAAAAAAATGATCCCACCAGCCGCCACTGGTCACCCCCGTTTGGAAACGGACTGGTTTGGTCCAGATCAGAGTTTGTTTGTCTTTATTCACACCTGAAATAAAGTCCAGACTTTCAGGGGAATCGAACTCTCGTCTGTTTGAATCAGACTGAAGCCCAAAGGCAAAACTCTGATGAGTTAATAGAGCAACTTTAACACCGAAGAGTTCAACACTGTGTTTACAAAGAACAACATGTAAAATATCACTTTACAAAGAACAACATGTAAAATATCACTTTACAAAGAACAACATGTAAAATATCACTTTACAAAGAACAACATGTAAAATATCGTCCAGTTCGTCTCTAAGTTTAGAGCAGTGCTTCTCAAACTGTGGTGCGAGTCCCACTAGTTCAGATATTTGCTGAATTCATTGAATCCACATTTTTGTTCTCCTTTGGGTCAGTCCTTGGTTGTGTTGACATGCGTCCTTATTGTGAGTGGGCTTGCCTCTCCACAAACCTGACTCTCATTTGTCCTGAAGGAGGCTCTCCTCCTCCTCATGCCTCCTCCACAAATGCACTCAGTGTTCCTCTAATGAATGCATTTGAACGGTAAATGTTGTAGAACAAAAGCTGCTACCAAACGTCCCAAATGTGAAAAGAAGTTGATTGTATTTGAAAGTATTTTTCAGTCTCTCCACAGTTTGAGGAAATAAGACACAGGAATAAGAGCCACACCTTTGGACTGGAGCAGCACATCACCAGACCAACGCCTCACACTGCACAAGACAAACATACATCTGTGTGTGGACTATTTCCTCACTTTGTTTCACTCTTTTCTTTGCTTTCTATTTGACTTGTTGCCTCTGATTTCTTGTTTTCTGTGTTATTAGTTTGAATGGTTTCCATGGTTACAGAAAGTGATCAAAGTGTTGAACAGTGCAAATGGACTGACGTTCTACAGCACACAGTGTTGGCTCCAACTTACTCACTTCTACTTAGTTACTGTCATTGGATTACAAGTACCTCAGTAGTGTAACGCACCAGTGTGAAAATCCTGGTGCTGAAATGAGGCCGGTCCCTCCTCAGAGGCAGAGAAGCAGCTTGGAGCTGAAATCACCCAGTAAAGTCTCTGTGACGTCATTTGAGACGTTTCAACAACTCCTGTGTTTCTCTCCACTGAAACGTCTTGAATCAAACACAAAAGCTCACATTTGATTCATTTAGACAAAACTGCAAACAAGTCGTCCCAAACTCATGGAACTAAGTGACTTTACTGAGCCACTAACTAAGTAGTGTAATAGATTACATTTTGAACAAGTAACTAGTAATGAGTAACTCAAGAGTTTTTCAAAGTCACTTCCCCAACACTGAACAACACACAACGTCACAATGAAGTGTTGACATGATGAAATAAACAGAATGATGTTTGAACGACTAAAAGGAGCTCTTGGTTTCTTCATTAAGACTCAGACAATAAACTAGAGCAGGAGACAAAGACTTTTACACATCAGTTAGTGCAAACCTGAAGGAAAATACTGCTTTTATAACAAACACAAACAATACAAATGCACTTTAGAAAGAATCAAGACAAACCTTGTTTGAAACAGCTGAAAGAGGCAGAGGGAACGAGTCTTTAACACCAGCAAATGTTCAGATTTTATCATCTACTTCCTGCAGTCTGGGTGTGTCTGTCTCTGTGTGTGTGTGTGTGTGTGTGTGTGTGTGTGTGTGACTCTGGGCTCATCAGAACTTTCATATTAATAATCTGAACCTGGTTCAGTCCTGGTTTAGTTCTGGTTTAGTTCTGGTTTAGTCCTGGTTCAGTCCTGGTTTAGTCCTGATTCTTGGTTTTACTCTGGGATAAAAACAGGACCATAAATGTGACTAAGTGCAGACACGCGCTGTGTCCAGCAGGGGGCGCCCCACACCACGTTTTTCATCTGGATTGGTCTGAATCAAGTCTCATACTGTACAGCCACCGATTAATCCTGGTTTAGACCTGGTTTAATCCTGGTTTAGACCTGGTTTAGTCCTGGTTTAGACCTGGTTTAGTTCTGGTTTAGTTCTGGTTTAGTCCTGGTTTAGTTCTGGTTTAGTTCTGGTTTAGTCCTGGTTTAGTCTTGGTTTAGTTCTGGTGCAGTGAGGTTCTGTGTCCAGCAGGTGGCGCAGTGAACAAAGCTTTGCCTGATGCGCGCGTGCCCCTGTCTCTGCTTTGTGTTTGATTTGGGCTCATCCCCCCTCCTTCAGTCCGTCTGTTTGGTCCGTCCCATCCCGCACCCCCCCGTCCGCGCGCGGAATGGTTCAGTCCTCTTCTATAAAAGTCGCGTGTGGTTCGTCTCGCGCACATTCACGTATCAGCTGTTTACCCGCGCGCGCAGCACGGGGACAGACCGGAGCAGAACCCGCCCCCGAGCACCGAACCCGCACCGAACCCGCAGACCCGACTCCCGCCCTCCGCCCCGCACCCCCACACCCGAGTCCGGTCCGAGCGCGGCAGACGCGGCAGCACGCTGGAGCCGGACGCGCAGGACGCGCAGGACATGCCCCAGCGGCGGAAGGAGGCTCGGAAAAAGCGCACGCGCACGGTGAAGAGGTGAGGCGGATCTGAAACGGATCTGAAACGGATCTGAAACGGAACACTTGGCGGAGAATGTGCAGAGCCATGAAGCGCAGCGACGCGGAGCGGAAACGCAGCGACGCGGAGCGGAAGCGCCTGTTCCGCGGTAAAGGCCGAGGTAAAGCCGTGAAGAGCGCGCGCAGGTGGACCCCGTGCGTCCCGCGGGTGCCCGTGTCCCTGCGGCCCGTGAACGTGCGCGGGTACCGGGCTAAAGGCATGCGCGCGCCCGAGAACACGAACCAGTTCCTCATGACGGAGAAGTACCGCCTGCACGCGCTGCGCTCCGACTCCGTGGACAGCGGCTCTGAGGCGAGCAGCGACACGGAGCTCACGGACATGGACTCGTATTTGGGCGCGTGGGAGAACGCGCACGGAGCGCTCCTGGACCCGGAGAGCGCGGAGCACGCGCCGAAGCACGCGCCGGGGCACGCGCAGGAGCGCGCACCGGCGCACTCGGTGCTGTTGTGGGACATGGACGAGGACAGTGCGCAGTATTTTCCGTCCGAAGACGATTTGAACCTGAGCGACAACTTCATGCACCGAGATTTCGCCGAGTTCTGCCGAAAGGTGACGGCGTAACCGCATTACGTCATTACGCTCTTATAAACAGTTTACACGTTGTGCACGTGAGGTGCTGTCAGTGGACTGACGGAGTTTTGTTTGGGACATAGCGACGTCATAACGGGCATCTGTTCCTAATATTGTGGCCACAGGCGCGAGCTCATGTTTAGACCAAGAAGGACCAGGTCTTGGTTTAGATCCAGACACTTCAGTCCCTCCAGTTGTACTTAGTGACGCAGTGACGTCATCGCGCTGTTCCACTGAACAGAGGCATTATAAATGTGTTATTCATGTGTTATTAACGTGTTATTCATGTTTCATATTTTGTGTTTGGACCGTAACTCTCGGCACTGTTGTACGTCGTGACGCTGTGACGTCATCACGTACACTCCAGACAAAACTGTTTTTTAATGTTTCTGTTCAAGTGCACTTCACTTTGTGTGTAAAGAATAAAATATGTTTTTGTATGTTTTTTTTCTGTCTCATTATTTTACAGTTGTAATATTTTTACACCAGAACATGTCATGTTCACATAAACTCGGTCGTTGGACATAAACGGGTCATCGTGCCGAAGATGATGAAGATGATAAACACTTTATCGTTCTGTGTTCCTCTCCGCAGGTGCAGGTTTCGTGTGTAACCTGCTGTTTCCATGGTGACACATGTTTAAAACACTCGGTGTGTTGTTTTGTTGTTTTTTTCGTTTCGTAAAGACTCGAGTTTCATCTGTGATTCGTCAAACGCTTCATCGACAGAAACAGTGAAAAGTGAGAGTTTTATCTGAATATAGTTTGAGCAGAAAGTCCAGACTAAACCAGGTCTAAACCAGGACTAAACCAGGTCTAAACCAGGTCTAAACAAGGACTAAACCAGGTCTAAACCAGGTCTAAACCAGGACTAAACCAGGACTAAACCAGGTCTAAACAGGTCTAAACCAGAGTGAAATGTTTGAGTTTTTTATAGTTTCAGTGAAATGTGAGTTGTGGAACATCGTGTCTCTTTAGACTCTTCGCACAAACACGCGGAAGGCGGAGAGGGCGCGACGAAAACGCGACGAAAACGCGAGGGAAACGCGCAAACGACGTGAAAACAGCGCGGCACGGTTCGGCACGGCGCGTCTGTGCGCGTAATGCGCGCGGCACGACGAAAACACGCGGAAATAAAGTTGGTGTTTGTTTTTGTTGTTCGTGTCACAAAGAACCAGGGGGCGGGGCGTGGGAGTGCGCCGAGCAGCCAATCAGCGTCGAGCACAGCGCCTCAGGGCTGCCGTGATTGGTCAGGACAGACAGAGGAGATCTGGTCCAGGGTCCAGGCTCAGATCTGGTCCAGGATCCTACTCAGATCTGGTCCAGGTCCAGGATCAGATCTGGTCCAGGGTCCGGGCTCAGATCTGGTCCAGGTCCAAGCTCAGATCTGGTCCAGGGTCAGATCTGGTCCAGGGTCCAGGCTCAGATCTGGTCCAGGATCCTGCTCAGATCTGGTCCAGGGTCCGGGCTCAGATCTGGTCCAGGGTCCAAGGTCCAGGCTCAGATTTGATCCAGGATCCTGCTCAGATCCGGTCCAGGTCCGGGCTCAGATCTGGTCCAGGGTCCAGGCTCAGATCTGGTCCAGGATTAAAGCTGCACCGTGTACTTTTCCTGCTGGAGGCTCTGTCTGCCGTCTCCATGGCGACTGTTTTGCCTGGAGTTTTCCGCAGTGTGGCTTTAAACTGGAAGCTCGCCTCACCACAGACGTGACTCGTAAACGAGGAAAGAGGAAAAGGCACAACTGAAATCTGCAAATGTTTAGACTGGAAAGAATGTGATCAACGTTTAGTCCTGGTTTAGTCCTGGTTTAGTCCTGGTTTAGTCCTGGTTTAGTCCTGGTTTAGACCTGTTTTAGTCCTGTTTTAGTCCTGGTTTAGACCTGGTTTAGTCCTGGTTTAGTCCTGGTTTAGACCTGGTTTAGTCCTGTTTTAGTCCTGGTTTAGACCTGGTTTAGACCTGGTTTAGTCCTGGTTTAGACCTGGTTTAGTCCTGGTTTAGACCTGGTTTAGCCTGGTTTTAGACCTGGTTTAGTCCTGGTTTAGTCCTGGTTTAGTCCTGTTTTAGTCCTGGTTTAGTCCTGTTTTAGTCCTGGTTTAGTCTTGATTTAGTCCTGGTTTAGTTCTGGTTTAGTCCTGGTTTGGTCCTGGTTTAGACCTGGTTTAGACCTGGTTTAGTAGTCCTGGTTTAGTCCCTGGTTTAGAGTTTAGTCCTGGTTTAGTCCTGGATTAGACCTGGTTTAGACCTGGTTTAGTCCTGGTTTAGACCTGGTTTAGTCCTGGATTAGTCCTGGTTTAGTCCTGGTTTAGACCTGGTTTAGACCTGGTTTAGTCCTGGTTTAGACCTGGTTTAGACCTGGTTTAGACCTGAAATAGACATGCATTTAGTCCTGGTTTAGACCTGGTTTAGACCTGGTTTAGACCTGGTTTAGATCAGTTTTGGTCCAAAATAGAGACACTTGGACATTTCTTGTATAAAATTGGGACAAATCAGTGTTTTTTAATAAATCTGCGGGGACAGGGGGACACGGGGTCTAGACCAGGTCCATCCCGGTTGGTCCTGGTCCTGGTCCCGGGTCCAGACTGGTCCGGGTCCGGGTCCTGGTCCGTTTGTCTCGGCTGCGTTTTCACATCAGGCAAAGTTTGTTGGTGAAATCTGACTCTGGTGGAAAACAGGACTCGGTCGCGGTCCGAGCCACGGCCAAAGTCTGAGCCAATCAGACGCGGCCTGTGGAGCTGTGAGCCAATGGGGCGCAAGGGGCTGGACCGTTGGCCAATCACACGCGGGCTCTGCAGTTTGTTTCCAAAAGTGCAGGAGGAGGGGGCGGAGCCAAGGGACAAGTGGAAAAGTACAGAGAAGACAGAAGTACTACAAATACTACAGGAAAGTACTACAAATACTACAGAGAAATACTACAGATACTACAGAATCTGCAGTACTTCCAAGTATTCGCAGTAGTTATCACAGTATTTTAACTCTTAACTTGTACTTTGCTCCTGTGGTTTTGAAGTACTCTCTTGTACTTTTGTGTACTTATAAATATTTATAAATAAATATTCTGCAGTGTCGTTTGTGAAAGAGAAAGAGTCAAAACATATTACACATTTAGACCTGGTTTAGTTCTGGTTTAGTCCTGGTTTAGTTCTGGTTTAGACTTGGTTTAGACCTGATTTGGTCCTTGTTTAGTCCTGGTTTAGTTCTGGTTTAGACCTGGTTTAGTCCTGGTTTAGTCCTGGTTTAGTCCTGGTTTAGTCCTGGTTTAGACCTGGTTTAGTTCTGGTTTAGTCCTGGTTTAGTTCTGTTTTAGACCTGGTTTAGTCCTGGTTTAGACCTGGTTTAGACCTGGTTTAGTCCTGGTTTAGACCTGGTTTAGTCTTGGTTTAGTCCTGGTTTAGTCTTGGTTTAGTTCTGGTTTAGACCTGGTTTTAGACCTGGTTTTAGACCTGGTTTAATCCTGGTTTAGACCTGGTTTAGTCCTGGTTTAGTTCTGGTTTAGACCTGGTTTTAGACCTGGTTTAGACCTGGTTTAGTTCTGGTTTAGACCTGGTTTTAGACCTGGTTTTAGACCTGGTTTAGACCTGGTTTAGTTCTGGTTTAGACCTGGTTTTAGATCTGGTTTAATCCTGGTTTAGACCTGGTTTAGTCCTGGTTTAGTTCTGGTTTAGACCTGGTTTTAGACCTGGTTTTAGACCTGGTTTAGTTCTGGTTTAGACCTGGTTTAGACCTGTGACAAATTTAGATTTTTCTCTCATGTTTTTATTTTCGTTTTTAAATTTTGATCAGAATTTTTGATCCGTGTGAATCCGTCGAGTTTATTCAAGTCGAAGAACATACAGTACCCCCCCCCCGTGGGCGTGTCTTTGTTCATGTGTGGGCGTGTCCGTGTGGATTAGTGGGCGTGTGCGGCGTCATGTGACCTGCTGCTCCACTGACCTCCTGAAACAGAACAAACTGTTCTGTACCAGTGCCTCAGATAAAGTACTATTACCTCAGAGTACCTGAGTGTACTGCAGGAGAGGAGGAGGGGGTACTAACTGTAGTAGTAGTAGTAGTAGTAATAGTAGTAGTAGTAGTTTATCCATGATTGTAGTTTTGTTGCTGTTTCTCCTGTTTTTGTGTAAATCATTCTATAAATACAACAGATTAGTACCAGCAGCAGTAGAAGTAATAGTATTTGTAGTAGTATCATGGTAGTAGTAGTAGTAATATCAGTAGTAGTAGTAATATTAGTAGTAGTTACAGTAGTAGTAGTAGTAGTAGTAGTAGTTGACACACACATTACACATGTGTGTGTTGTAGGACGTGTGTGTGTGTGTGTGTGTGTGTAGGACGTTGTGTATTTGTTGTAGGACGTGTGTGTGTGTGTGTGTGTGTGTGTGTGGTGTGTGTGTGTGTGTAGGACATGTGTGTGTGTGTGTGTGTGTGTAGGACGTGTGTGTAGGACGTGTGTGTGTGTGTGTGTGTGTAGGACATGTGTGTGTGTGTGTGTGTGTGTGTGTGTGTAGGACGTTGTGTATTTGTTGTAGGACATGTGTGTGTGTGTGTGTGTGTAGGACATGTGTATGTGTGTGTGTGTGTGTGTGTGTGTAGGATGTTGTGTATTTGTTGTAGGACATGTGTGTGTGTGTGTGTGACGTTGTGTATTTGTTGTAGGACGTGTGTGTGTGTGTGTGTGTGTGTGTAGGATGTTGTGTATTTGTTGTAGGACGTGTGTGTGTGTGTGTGTGTAGGATGTTGTGTATTTGTTGTAGGACGCGCGTGTGTGTGTGTGTGTGTGTGTAGGACATGTGTGTGTGTGTGTGTGTGTAGGATGTTGTGTATTTGTTGTAGGACGTGTGTGTGTGTGTGTGTAGGACATGTGTGTGTGTGTGTGTGTGTGTGTAGGATGTTGTGTATTTGTGTTGTGTGGAGTGTGTACATGTGTGTGTGTGTGTGTGTGTGTGTGTGTGTGTGTAGGATGTTGTGTATTTGTTGATTAACACCAGTCCAGACAGACACACACACACACACACACACACACACTTTGTTTCTAAATGTGCCTCGTGCACCAACGGGGGAGCAGAGCGCGCGACCCTGTGCGCGTGCGTGGGCGCGGGAGGGACACGTTTGGCACGTACACCCGTCTGACGTCACCAGGGAAACCCGACACTGCGGGCGCTGATTGGCTGAGGCCCGAGCCAAGCCCCGCCTACCGTAACGGACTGTTCCGAGTTTGTTTTGTTTACATCTTCAGCTGTCACTACAAATACTACAAATACTACTACAAATACTACAATACTACAACAAATACTACAATACTACTACAAATACTACAATACTACTACAAATACTACTACTACTACTAAATACTATACTAAATACTACTACTACTACATACTACTACAAATACTAACAATACTACTACAAATACTACTACAAATACTACTACTACAATACTACTACTATACAATACTACTACAAATACTACTAAAATACTACTACAAAATACTACTACTAAATACTACAAATACTACTGAAAATACTACAAATACTACAAATACTACAAATACTACAAATACTACAAATACTACTGCAAATACTACTGCAAATACTACTGCAAATACTACTAATACTACAAATACTACAAATACTACAAATACTACAAATACTACAAATACTACAAATACTACTGCAAATACTACAAATACTACTGCAAATACTACTACAAATACTACAACCAATACTACAAATACTACTGCAAATACTACAAATACTACTGAAAACACTACTACAAATACTACTACAAATACTATAAATACTACAAATACTACTACAAATACTATAAATACTACAAATACTACTACAAATACTATAATACTACAATACTACTACAAAATACTACAAAATACTAATACTACAAATACTACATACAAATACTACAATACTACAATACTACAATACTACTACAAATACTACAATACTACTACAAATACTACAATACTACAAATACTACAAACACTACTGCAAATACTACTGCAAATACTACTACAAATACTACAATACTACAAATACTACTGCAAATACTACAATACTACAAATACAACAATACTACAATACTACAATACTACAAATACTACAAATACTACTGCAAATACTAAAAATACTACTGCAAATACTACTACAAATACTACAACCAATACTACAAATACTACTGCAAATACTACAAATACTACTGCAAATACTACTACTACTACAACAACTACTACTACAACTACTACTACAACTACTACTACAAATACTACAACTACTACTACAAATACTATAAATACTACAAATACTACAATACTACTACAAATACTACAATACTACTAATACTACCAAATACTACAATACTACTACAAATACTACAAATACTACAATACTACAAATACTACAAACACTACTGCAAATACTACTGCAAATACTACTACAAATACTACAATACTACAAATACTACTGCAAACACTACTACAAATACTACTACAAATACTACTGCAAATACTACTACAAATACTACAATACTACAAACACTACTACAAATACTACTGCAAATACTACTACAAATACTACTGCAAATACTACAATACTACAAATACAACAATACTACAAATACTACAATACTACAAATACTACAAATACTACAAATACTACTGCAAATACTAAAAATACTACTGCAAATACTACTACAAATACTACAACCAATACTACAAATACTACTGCAAATACTACAAATACTACTGCAAATACTACTACTACTACAACAACTACAACAACTACTACTACTACTACAAATACTACAACTACTACTACAAATACTATAAATACTATAAATACTACAAAATACTACTACAAATACTACTACAAATACTATAAATACTACTACAAATACTACAATACTACTACAATACTACTACAAATACTACAATACTACTACAAATACTACAATACTACTACAAATACTACAAATACTACAATACTACAAATACTACAATACTACAATACTACAAACACTACTGCAAATACTACTGCAAATACTACTACAAATACTACAATACTACAAACACTACTACAAATACTACTGCAAATACTACAAATACTACTACAAATACTACAATACTACAAATACAACAATACTACAAATACTACAATACTACAAATACTACACAAATACTACAAATACTACTGCAAATACTAAAAATACTACTGCAAATACTACTACAAATACTACAACCAATACTACAAATACTACTGCAAATACTACAAATACTACTGCAAATACTACTACTACTACAACAACTACTACTACAACTACTACTACAACTACTGCTACAAATACTACAACTACTACTACAAATACTACAATACTACTACAAATACTACAATACTACTACAAATACTACAATACTACTACAAATACTACAATACTACTACAAATACTACAAATACTACAAACACTACTGCAAATACTACTGCAAATACTACTACAAATACTACAATACTACAAATACTACTGCAAACACTACTACAAATACTACTACAAATACTACTGCAAATACTACTACAAATACTACAATACTACAAACACTACTACAAATACTACTGCAAATACTACTACAAATACTACTGCAAATACTACAATACTACAAAGACAACAATACTACAAATACTACAATACTACAAATACTACTGCAAATACTACTACTAATACTACTACAAATACTACTACAAATACTACTACTACTACAACAACTACTACTACAACTACTACTACAAATACTACAACTACTACTACAAATACTATAAATACTACAAATACTACTACAAATACTACAAATACTACTACAAATACTACAATACTACTACAAATACTACAAATACTACAATACTACTACAAATACTACAATACTACTACAAATACTACAATACTACTACAAATACTACAATACTACTACAAATACTACCAAATACTACAATACTACAAATACTACAATACTACAATACTACAAATACTACTGCAAATACTACTACAAATACTACAACTACTACAAAACTACTACTACAAATACATACTAAAATACTACTGCAAATACTACTACAAATACTACTGCAAATACTACAATACTACAAATACAACAATACTACAAATACTACTGCAAATACTACTGCAAATACTAAAAATACTACAACCAATACTACTGCAAATACTACTGCAAATACTACTACTACTACAACTAATACAACAACTACTACTACTACAAATACTACTACTACTACTACAAATACTGCAAATACTACAACTACAAAAAATACTACTACTACAAATACTGCAAATACTACTACTACTACAAATACTACAACTACAAATACTACAAATATTACAAATACTACTGCAAATACTGCAAATACTACAAATGCTACCACAAATAATACAAATACTACTACTACTACTACTACAAATACTACTGCAAATACTACTACTACAACTACAACTACTACAACTACTGATACTACTACTATTACTACTAGGATACTACTACAAATACTATTACTTCTATTATTATTACAAATACAACTACTACTACTACTGCAACTACTGCTACTACTGCTACTACTGCTACTACTGCTACTACTGCTACTACTACTACATAAAGTAAACAGCACGTCCTACGGGATTAAAACTATGTGAGTGTTGTAAAAAAATAAAAAAGTGTCTTGTTTTGCAGCTCGTGCATTTTTCGAACTGGTTGTGAGGAAACGCGCGCGCGCCCCTCCTCCTCGCGCTCTGGTGAAAACAAGAGCACGTGACTGAACCACGTGACTGCGCCCGTAACACGAGCACGGGCGCCCCCTGGTGGAAGAAACACGAACTGAACACTTCAAATATTAAAACTTTATTACACCAGAAATATTTTCCATTTTACAATATTTTACACCATCTGTGGACCACGTGGTTTAGACCTGGTTCAGTCCTGGTTCAGTCCTGGTTTAGACCCGGTTTAGACCCGGTTTAGACCCGGTTTAATCCTGGTTTAGACCTTGTTTAGACCTTGTTTAGACCTTGTTTAGACCTGGTTCGGTCCCGGTTTAGTCCTGGTGTAGTCCCAGTTCAGTCCTAGTCTAGTCCTGGTTTATTTGGTCTACTTTAGTGCTGGTTCAGTCCCGCATGAGTCCATCTTAAGTCCATCTTAAGTCCTGGTCTAGTCCTGGTCTAGTCCTGGTCTAGTCTTGGTGTAGTTATGTTTAGTCCCCCTTTAGTCTTAGTCCAGTCCTTTGTACAGTCTTGGTTTAAACCTGGTTCAGTCCTGGTTTAGTCCCACTTTAGTCCTAATCCAGTCCTGGTCTAGTCTTGGTTTAGTTCTAGTTAAGTCTCACTTTAGTGCTGGTTCAGTCCCGGCTCAGTCCCGATTTAGTCCAGCTTCAATCCTGATCTAGTCCTGATTTAATCCAGCTTCAATTCTGGTTCAGTCCCGATTTCAGACCAGCTTCGGTCCCGGTTCGGTCCCGGTTTAGTCCTGGTTCAGTTCCAGCTCCAGCTCCTCTTGTTCTTTGGCGTCTGCTTCTCTGAGTTTCTGCTCCAGGTCTTCTGGGATGGGGACCTCCATGAGATTGTCCATCCCGGTCTGAGGCTCGTCTCCGATCAGAACCTGGACACACGTGATGGACGTTAAAGCTCCCGAAGAACCCAGACCCACTGTGAGCTCTGACCATGTTCTAAAGTTCTCATGTTCTCATGTTCTAAAGTTCTCATGTTCTAAAGTTCTCATGTTCTAAAGTTCTCATGTTCTAAAGTTTTAAAGTTCTCATGTTCTAAAGTTTTAAAGCTCTCATGTTCTAAAGTTCTACTGTTCTAAAGTTCTCATGTTCTAAAGTTCTCATGTTCTAAAGTTCTCATGTTCTAAAGTTTTAAAGCTCTCATGTTCTAAAGTTCTACTGTTCTAAAGTTCTCATGTTCTAAAGTTTTAAAGTTCCCATGTTCTAAAGTTCTACTGTTCTAAAGTTCTCATGTTCTAAAGTTCTCATGTTCTAAAGTTCTCATGTTCTAAAGTTCTCATGTTCTAAAGTTCTAAGGTTCTCATGTTCTAAAGTTCTAAGATTCTCATGTTCTAAAGTTCTAAGATTCTCATGTTCTAAAGTTCTAAGGTTCTCATGTTCTAAAGTTCTCATGTTCTAAAGTTCTAAGGTTCTCATGTTCTAAAGTTCTAAGGTTCTCATGTTCTAAAGTTCTAAGGTTCTCATGTTCTAAAGTTCTAAAGTTCTCATGTTCTAAAGTTCTCATGTTCTAAAGTTCTAAGGTTCTCATGTTCTAAAGTTCTAAGGTTCTCATGTTCTAAAGTTCTAAGGTTCTAAAGTTCTAAGATTCTCATGTTCTAAAGTTCTAAGGTTCTCATGTTCTAAAGTTCTAAGGTTCTAAAGTTCTAAGGTTCTCATGTTCTAAAGGTTCTCATGTTCTAAAGTTCTCATGTTCTAAAGTTCTAAGGTTCTCATGTTCTAAGGTTCTCGTGGTCCTGGTCAGACACAGAGCTGCAGTTGTGTGTGTTTGGAGTCTGGTCTTTCTCCAAACCCTGGACCTTGAACCTGAACGTGCAGCAGATCTAAAATAATTTAATACGTAATAAAAAAAACAAAACAACGATTTTCTTCAATATTTGTCTCCAAAACCAAAATGAAAAAACTGATAATGATTCATTTTTTTCAGTTTTCAATTTTGTGTTTAAATGAAAAATGGAAAAAACTGATAATGAACGTTTACGTGAAACCCCCGTCCCTCGTCCTCTCGTCCTCCACTCGTCCTCCACTCGTCCTCCACTCGTCCTCCACTCGTCCTCCACTCGTCCTCGTCCTCCTTGTCCTCCCCCTGTCCCCCTGCGTCCTCCTGACCTCTTAAGGTTCGTTCACACCAAAGCGTCAAAAAACTCCTTGACGTTTCTATTTGGAGCCTTTGTATTTGAGTTCAGACGCCCCGACGCTCGTGTCTTTGACGCCGCGGACGAACGGGAGAAAAATACTTGACGCGCGTCCGTTGCCCTGGAAACAAGAGCCCGGTCCTGGACTTTTCCCGAAACAATGTCAGACCAGACTGAGAGACTTTAGTGTTTTTATCACATAAAACATCAGCGGAGGAAATCGACTCGACGACTGGAGCCAGTTTATATTTATACTCCACTAATGACACTGGATCAGTCCTGGTCTAGTCCTGGTCTAGTCCTGGTTTGGTCTCGGTCTATTCAGGGTCTAGTCCTTCCTGGTCTAGTCCTGGTTTGGTCTCGGTCTAGTCTCGGTCCGGTCCTTGTTTAGTCCTGGTTTAGTCCTGGTTTAGTCCTGGTTTAGTCCTGGTTTAGTCCTGGTTTAGTCCTGGTTTAGTCCTCGCGATCGGTCTCGGTGTTTGTGGTGTCTATATTTATTCTTCGTTCATGTTTGTGATTCTGGTTCTGGGGTTTTTCTTCCTGATAATAACGTCGCTGCGTCTCTGGATACTCGTCCCTGATTGGTCAACGCGGCTCGTCTGACGCGAAAAGTTCAGCATTTTCAACTTCTTGACGCTGACGCCTTGGACGCGCGTCTAGAGCGCCGACGCCAAAACGCTCAAGACTCGCTGCGTCGACGCCAGATTCGCGCCGCACTGACGCAGAAAACGCG